GGCAGAGGAAGTTTGGGACAGTGGGTAGACCTGCGGCAGAGGTAGTTTGGGCTACTGATTCAAGTTCAGACAGAGGTAATGTTGGCTAGTAGTTAGAAATGAGGGACTGAAAGAAAGGCACTGAGGGTAAATGGTCAGAATGGATGGGTTTGCATCTTTAGTGTTAATCTGCAGCTCTGCCTCTACATAATGTAGTGCTGAAATAAAATGTTGCCTGGTGGTTTGAACCAAGGAACCGAGGGGGGAGGAAACATGGGTTAGTGGTTAGAGCCGAGGGACTGAGGGAGTGTGGTTTATGTTTTGGATTGAAGGAGCTAGGTAATGTTGAAGCAGAGAAGGGAGTGAGAGAAAGGCATAGTGTCCCTTTACATACATATGAAACTTTTATGTGAGGTTGGAGGTCTTGTTATTAGAATAATGATAAATCACGCTATCCCTTTGCCAACAACAATATTGATTGTTCTTGGTTTAAATAGTTCAAATCAAGAAATATTGCACACTATTTCTGAAGCAACCTCCAAGCCCAGTTTGTCTGAGTGAAGCGAAGACTTTGCAGTGAGTTAAGAGATGGAAGCTCAGCGTGAGGCCAATTTCCAGACTCAATTCTCAGGAATTTTTTCATGTTAAAAAGCTATCAAGCTATTTCCTACAAGTTTCAACTCTTTTTGTTCCTCAGGACGGTTTATTGAGAATCGGAAACCATAACTCAGAACTTGGTGCAGAGACTGACTTCATATTGGCAGGATCTGACATCTCTCCACGCAGGAAAAAAAAGACAAAGTTTTTATGAAGCTGCAAAACTGACAATTGTCAAACAATGTCAAAAACGTAAAATGTGTATTTTTATTTCACCAAAGCAATGTAGCTGACCCTGTCTGGTCTGGGTTCAGTAAATGTAGTTTGGAAATACCACCTGGGGATTCTGGGGTTTTTTCCTCTGTCACTCCCACTCTGTCCTTCTCCCAGCGTCTCTCAGTATCTGTCTCTATCTGGGCCGCTTTGTCTCGCTGTCCCTGTCTGTCCTTCTCTCTCTGCCTGCCTTGCTTTCTCTGGCTTTCTCATGCTCTGTCTTCTCTTACTGTGTCTTTGTGTCTGTCTGTGCCGCGGTCCCTACCCTCCCTCCCTGCCTTCTCCCCTCTCCCCGTCTCTCGCTCCGCGCTGGAATCCGGTTCCACCGGCTCCTCCACACGTGAGCAGCGAGGGGACTTTGGGATTGCGGCAGAACTCCGTTGCCATGGCAGCGTGCAGGAGAGCCGCGCCGAGCTCACCTGGGATTTGGAGTCTCTCCGCACCGCTGGAATCATTGTCAGTGACCACCAGTCACCCAAAGCACATCACACATCATAAAGGGAAAAAAAAAAAACCACGCACACAGCACTCTCCTACTGAATGCTGAAACCGCGAAAAGCTGGGCTCTTTTCAATCTGACAGAAGACAACCACACCCCAAAAATACACAGCAAATGTTCTTGGGTTCTTGTGCTAGAAGTGTTTTGTTTGTTCTTTAGGAAACACCACAACATATCAGCATCCTATCTGTAGCTGCTCTGTAAAATGCCTTTTGTCACTGACTACAACGGCACCTCAGGGATTGGGCAATAGCCATGACATGCCGTAATGCGCTGCCGAAATGAGGTTTTATTTTCATTGTTCTCCAAAATAAAAAAAAAACAACCTTTCTCATCTAGTTGGACTCCCCCAGCCCTCATCCCCCTGGAGTGAGGGTGGTGGGATGGCAGACAGCCTGAGTCTAGTCCTCCCCGTCAATGGACGTCAGTGATCCTGTACGGTCAGAACCATAACACAGTCATCCGATAAAAGATAATTTGACAAAGTCAATGGTGTTTGAAAGAGCAGCCCTTGATGCCCTCTGTCGTGGGGAAGCCAGAACATAGACACCTGTGTGCTCTCCAGCTTCTCTGTTGATTTCAGTGTCATTAGTTCCATATTGACAGACACGTCTGTTGTTGTTTGCTGTTTTAAACATTCCTAAAAAAATAACGTCTTCATTAAGGCGTTGCTGCAATTTTTTTTCCTTTTTTTTTGTTGTCGTTGAGCACAAACAGGCTTTAACAGATACGATCTTCTGTTTTTTTTTCTCCCAAAGGTTTTTCTTGAAGTTTTTTCTCAAATGTAACCAGAACTGTCTGAAGACGGCAGGGAACCCCAGAGACATGAGGAGATTCCAGGTATGGAGGAAGGAGAGAGAGGCGCAGGAGTGGTCACTCTCTCGTTGTGGCCATCCGTGCTGGTGCACGTTGTCTGTGCCTCTGATATACTTGTGCTTTACTTTTAATCTGAATCTGTTATTTCCATCAGTCTTACTGCTTGTCTTGCATCTGTAAAATGTGCATTTGTCTACTTGTTTACAAAATCTATACATTTTCTCTTTTGTAATCTATAGTTTCTTTGTCTGTGGGACAGTAGGTTGCATTTCCATATGGCGTCCATTTGCAATACAAATCTGTCTGCTGGTTTGTCTCTGCTTAAATTTATTTATTAAGCTTTTATGACCTGCCATCAATGACTGCAATCATGTCATTTATTTATCTCCTGTCCTGTCTCAGTCGGTCTGTCTAGAAGGCTACTTTACACTGTGAGGTCTAATGTCCTTGCACTGGAAAACACTATAACATTCTACTGCTGTGCCAACACAAATAAATCCCTGGTAGCAAATTTATATGCGCACCTAGGGATTTATGAATACATGTTATAAAACTGAAGCAATCCTCCTCCCTGCGACACACAGTTTTACCAGTACAGATTTTTTTCTATCTTTTTTAAGGAGACCACTTCAATGCAGAGGTTTCAATTTCAAAATGTAATTTAATTACCAATGGGGCTAGATGAGCCAAATAGCCTTTTCTTAACTGTAACCTTTCTTATATCATTAAATGCAGTATTCAATTGCTGGAGACATGTTCTGTAATTGTTTTGTGCATGCGATTGTGCTATTGTGTATGTGTCTGTGAATAAGACAACATTTTCCTTCATACGACATGACAGTGTGGGATGTTAGAAATTGCTGTAGTTATGTGAGTTTCCAGTAGTGCCAATTTTGTGATTCTGTTTATTGGAAAACATATGTGTCTGTAAGGTGGTATTTGAGTGTATTTGAAGGTGGGTGTACAGTGACTGAGAGAGTGTGTGTGTGTGTATCTGTGTGTCCCCGACTCTCGACCTTGTTGTTTCCAGAAGAGCAGTTTAAGGGAAAACAGGGGAGAGAGAGACAGGAAATAGGCCGAGGTGTTTCAGGAAGTTGTCAAGAGTTGAGTGATTGGCTCCAGATGGAGAGGTCAGGCTCTGTGACCCAGGAAGTGGTCACTGGGGAGACTCCCGCCTCACTTCCTCTGTCTTTCAGCACCACTTGATGCCTTGGATTTTCTCCTGTTTTTATGTGTTTGTGTTAACTCCTTCAGAGTGACACATCCTAAATTATAGGTTAAAGGTACACAGCTTTGTGGTCCATCATCTCCAGAGGTTAAACGGAAATCTGTCTAGTAGGCACTTACAGTACCACTGGCTGATACTCACTTGTCTTTGATCGATACTTTACTTTACTCACTGTTCTCCCTTTTCTTTTATCCCTGCACTGTATTCACTCTAAACCTCACCTCAAGTTGAAATTTTCACCTTCCTTGCCAACTCCCTGCCTCTAATCAGTGATCCTTACTTACCCTTGGAAGTGCCTCAGCTTCTTTTACCTCAGGGTGTCCAGCTATGATATTCCTTGGCCCTCCATTAAAACAAGCAGTCCCCATCTATTGTGCGTCCCAGTTCAGTAGTGCTAACCTCAATCCCACCAGTAACGCGCCAGTAACAGTTAAACTGGGCGGCACTGTGCAGATCCCTGTGAAGAAGTAATGGAACATACTGGTGGGGGAGAGGAGCATGCAGTGTACTCCAGAAGTTAAATTGCTTCCACAATTTATCAAAAAAAAATATTCCTTCCATATGTTTAATATCAGTGAGAGATTTTTTTCCTCCCCTCTGATCAGTGGTGGAATGAGGTTCCTTGTTTGCTGGCCAGGATTTGTACAGTGCAGATTTACAACAGTATGGGGGTGGGTGGGTTTGGTAACTGGACTTCAGCAGCTGTACAAGAAAAAAAAAACGAATTCAGCAATGCGGTCACACAGACCAACGGACAGCAGCCTGGTCCCCTTTCTTTCAGTTTACAGCTTCTTCCTCTTTTCACGATGAGTCCACTGTTTCTGAAAGCAGACTGACACCTAAGAACACGAGAAAGGTTACAAACTAGAGGATGCCATTTGACCCATCTGGCCCGTTTGATAATAGTTAATAGGATAGAATATTATCTGGCTATTGGCAAAAACTGGGATATCAGCTTTAACAACATGCAGCGTGCTCCAGACACCCACAACCCTTTGTGTAAAGATGTGCCTCCCTTTCTCATTTTTAAGTTCACTTTCATGTAGTTTCCTCTTGTGTTCTCTGGTTCGTGTTTCTCTGTTCATTCTGATGAAATCTGCTGGTTTGGCTTTGTGCATGCCTTGAGCATTTAAACATGAAGGTGGGGTTGGGTGGTAATTTGCGCTGCCAAGAGATTGGCTATATATTATTATGGATGCTGACTGAAGAATATCATGTTCCTCTTCTCTTCTCTGTGTGTGCTTCTACATTGTGAACTGTAGGTGGTGCTGTCTACAACAGTGAGTGTGGATGGGCACGTCTTGGCTGTGTCTGACAACATGTTTGTCCACAATAACTCCAAACATGGGCGGCGGGCAAGGAGGCTAGACCCCTCTGACTCTGCAGAGCCTGGCATGGAGTATGGTATGTATCTGCTATGCTGGGGCTTGTGTGTGGCTTGGGGTGGGGAGCAACTTCACAGATTCACTAAACCCAGAGTGAAGTAAAAGTAAGAACACAACAAGTTGGATGTGAGGATAACATGGATTTGCGATCACACCAAGTACACAAGCGAAGAGACGCCAGCACACCCACAGACTGGTCTCGTGCAGGGCCAGCTGCAGATGATCTTGCCCAAGGCTGAGGCTGATTCTGCAAGCACAGAAAGATATTAGAGGAGATTTGTTTGGAGGTGTGCTCACTGCTAATTGCTGGGTGGAATAACATCATGCTCCTCTCTCCCCTCACACAGCCACACCCTGTATCAAGGCCATCAGCCCCAGCGAGGGCTGGACAACAGGGGGCGCCATGGTCATTGTGATCGGGGAGAATTTCTTTGACGGCCTGCAGGTGGTTTTTGGAAGCATGCTGGTGTGGAGCGAGGTAAGTAGTGGAAGGAACGGAGATACAGCCATCTACAATGGTGGCTGCGCACCACAAGTACTGCGGGCCTAGTAAGCTTTCATACACCTGGCATTGAAACGTGCCATTGAAAACAAGCATTCCTTGTTTCTTTCTCGTGGATCTTTCGGAGATTGAGTTTGGAAGTTGCGTCCTACACACCCCCCAGTGATTTATTTGAGTCAGGTAACCTTCAGCTTAATAACGGAAGATGGTGATTGGAGCAGAGAGGTTGAGTGTGACTTGACGGATATTGTGGCCCCGGTTCATGCGTGATGTCCTCTGTCTCCTGCGTTCCAGCTGATCACTCCACACGCCATCCGAGTGCAGACGCCCCCTCGCCACATCCCCGGAGTTGTGGAGGTGACGCTGTCCTACAAGTCCAAGCAGTTCTGCAAAGGGGCTCCAGGCCGTTTCATCTACACAGGTGAGCTGCCGCATGCGAGCCCCCAGAGCTGCCTCCCCCTGTTGTCCTGGAAATGTTGCCTGCTCTGGGGGGGTTCGTTTTGGCAGTTGCTGGCTTGTGAAACCATTCCCAAGCAGATTCAGTCAGTGATGAGAGACAGGGAAAAGGGGGTCATGTGCTGAAAAATGACTGAATGAACGAACCCATGATTGCAAACAGAAAAGCTGTCATTTTGTGGAAGATTATCCCAGTGTTGTTGGGTTTTTTTTCCCTGGAAACTGAGATTCTACCTCTAACAAATGAGTGTGTGAACTGGGGGCTCCAGAGGTGAAAAGCCCAGGAGTTTGGTGAACGACCCCCCCCCCCCTCTCCCGGGTGAAGCATATGCCTTCACTTCTCATCGGCCCGGCGGGGAATTAGTGCCAGAGTCAGCTTTCGAAAAGTCCTTGATGGAGTGCCATGGAAGCCCAGAGTGAAATCTGACTCGGAGAGAGAATCGGGGTCTCCTGTGCCCCGAGCGATCGGGGGGCTTGTTGAATGACGCTTCCGCCGCCTCAGCCAGCGGGATTCAGTTGTCTTTTCTGGGGGATCTGTAAAGCCTGGGATACAGTTCCGTCGAGGGGCTCCCTGGGCTCTGTTATGCTCCCTACTCACATTCCAACACCATGGGATTCGGCCGCACTGTGGGAGTGTTATTCCCGAGTCAGAAAGGCTTCGGACACAGAACTGGGTCATTGGATCTGCACTCTGAGGGAGGCTCGAGGGCAGACGAATGAGGAGAAATTAGGTCTTTGGTTCTGTGAATGAACTGCTGGATTTTAGTTGGGAGTGTTCTTAACCCGAACCTGTTTAACCTTTTGCAGATGATACAATTAGCTTTTTATGGGGGTAATACTATATTGAAAGTAAGAGCATGGGGAACAAAATGATATGACGTGGCTTAAGCTTTTCATCTCTTTGTGTTTGAGTTCAGCCTGTGTGGAGAAAGAGAGGTAGTGATGCTTTCTTGGGCTCCTCTCTTTTTTTAACGTCCTTCTTCCACAAATACAACCAGCTTCTCTTTCTCTTCAGCACTGAACGAGCCCACTATCGATTACGGCTTTCAGCGTCTTCAGAAAGTCATTCCCAGACATCCAGGGGACCCGGATAAATTGGCCAAGGTGAGAGAACACTGTCTCCAGGTGGAAACCTGCTTTTCCTTATCGTCCTGTTTGTACTGCGGTGTGTTTAACGATCTCCTGTACTGGTGGCCACAGTCCAGCAGATTTTTCAGGACCTGTAAATCTGGATGCCTGAAAGTTCTAGGAAATTGTGGTGGGTAGATTAATTGAGCATCCCCTGAGAGCGATCATTTAAAAAAATAATAAAATGTATGTAGAGATTTTACACACAATAAATGTTTTGTGCTAGCATACCTGTCATTGATTTAGTGTCACCATTTTGTTTGAGAATGCCAGTGAGAGAAAAAAAAACCACTATCACTGGGAAGGAATAATGCATGCAAGCATATTCCGACTAAATGCGGACGGAAGTTTTGAGAAACAGTGGTAACAGTAATGAAGCTCTTGAAGGTTAATCCCAGCAGGATTTCAGCACCAAGAGGAGATCCTGAGGGACTGCAGCAAGGAGAGTCTCGCTGTCGACCACATCTGCACATCTCACTGGAATGCACCAAATCTGCTCCGTCTGGCAGGAGTATCCATGTGGAAAACTTTCTGCATTGCACTGTTCTGAACCGTGCAGTCATCTCCCTGCCTTTCTCTCCTCTGCTCCTCTGTCCAGGAGATGTTACTGAAGAGGGCCGCTGACTTGGTGGAAGCTCTGTATGGCAGCCCGCACAGCAACCAGGTACTGTATCCCTACGCAGAGCCAGCCCCTGTGCTACTGTCTGCAAGCTGGCACCAGGGTCTGTGTGTCTGGCATGAAGCAGTGCGTGCCAGTTCTGGTCACAACACATAGCTGCCCTAGCAGGAGCTCAGAGCTGAGACCCTAAAACAATCTTGGGTCTGAAAGAAAGGACATAGGCATAGGTAGGATAAAGGAACTGAATCTCTTCACTCTTGGGTAGCAGAGAAAACAATATTTAATACAGCCACTCGGCATCCGGAAGGGTACTCGCACAGCTAACCCAACGGATGACATTTTTCTCAGCAATGAGACCAGCACACGAGGGCGCCACTGAAAGTTATGTGGAAGTCTATTTAGGAGTGAGAACGGTATGCACAACTTTAAATATAAAAAGTGTTGGGTGCCTAGAACAAGCTGTCAGCTCCTGCTACCTTCACAAATAGGCTGGATGGGATCCGTGGATCAATAAGCTAATATAAACCAACAGTTAATAAGCATTATGAGCTGAATGGCCACTTCTCCTTGTGTGCAGCACTCTGGGCCCGTGTTGCGTCTCATACTGTACTTCCATTTCCTAATTCAGCCTGCTCTGATGCTGAGTCCCTGCCTCCCTCTCTCTGCCAGGACATGCTGCTGAAGCGCGCGGCCGACATCGCCGAGGCGCTGTACAGCGTGCCCCGCTCTCACAGCCAGCTGCAGGCCCTGCCCAGCTCGCCCGCCCACGGCAGCGTCATGGGGCTCAACTCCTACAGCAGCCAGCTGGGTGTCAGCATCGGGGAGCCCGGCCAGGCCAGCGGTCAAGGTACCTGCCCGGCACGCGCACCGTCCCGCGACACACACACACACACGCACGCACGCACGCACGCACACACACACACACGCCGAGCCCGCCCGCCGTCACCACACAGCTCACCCTCTGATGGGTCCCCTCCCAGTGTCCGTAACTGTGCTTGCATGGATCCGCAGGCTACATCCGGAACTCCAGCAGCCTGTCCCCTCGGGGGTACCCCTCAGCGTCCACGCCCCAGCAGTCAGGGTATGGCAGCTCAGGGGGCATGAACGGCTACGGTGCGGTGCCCATGTCCAGCCTGGGGGTGCCAGGATCTCCAGGCTTCAACAGCGCCTCGCCCACGGGCTCCCCCTACGGCAGTAAGTGCCCCTCCCCCTGCCCGCCCCAACACTCATCATTGTCATTCACTGGACCTCCTGAGAGAATTCGGATTTAGAATACGCTAAGAGATCAACAGCCTTATTTCCTGTGCGGCTGTCCTGCAGGCCATCTATCAACGATCGATATGCATTAACGCTTTACTACAAAAAATAAAGAGCTTTATACTTTTAATAGAATATCAAACGACATAAAAACTGCTGTTGCGCACAATAAATGAAAATGGGAATAATCTCAGTGGCCTTAGACAAAAGCAACGGGAAATTCATTTCCATTTAATTAACGACCCTCCGGATTAAAAAGAAGAAATGGAACTGCAAACAATACATGCTTGTTCACATCAGGCACCCCCTTAACACTGTAATAATTATAACCATTTATCTGCCATATACAGTACAAAAACTGGGTGGCACGGTTAGCTTTGTTCCAGTGCAGCACTGGTGCCCTGGGTTCAATTCCAGACCTGGGGTGCTGTCTGTGTGGAGTTTGTATGGTTCTCTCCTTGTTCGTGTGGGTTTCTTCGAGTGCTCCGGTTTCTTCCCACAGATTGGCAGGTTCATTGGCTCCTGGGAAAACTGCTTCTGGAGTGAGTGTGTGCACTTGTGTCTGTCTGCCCCTGTGAGGGACTGGCCTCCTGCCCAGGCTGTACCCTGTCTTGAGCCCGTTGCTTGCTGGGATAGGCTCCGGCTCCGTGTTGCGACACTGAATTGGAAGAAGCAGTTGGAAAACGGATGGGTGGTTAAAAGGCATTCAGCTTCTGTTCATTTACTACTGATTTATAACCCAGACACGATTCTGAAACAAAAGTAGGTAGATTAGCATAAGTAGCTCAAGATGTGTTAGCACTGTATAAAAAAATCATAGACTCACCAGTAAGCTTCTCAAAACAAGAAATATGATTTTTAATTGGGGCTGCTCTCTACCTGTAGTATATTATGCTATGTCTATATTTTAAATCAAAAATAGCTGCAAAACAGCATTTCCTGGGTTAGTCCAGATTCTGCTGTTGTGACAATCCGAGCAGAAGGAGAAGTCTCACCAGGCACATGTACTGTTGGCACATTCAGGGAAACCTGAGCAATGCGCCTGTACTTCCAAGAGATTCTGTTTTTTTTTCTGTATTTAAGGAAAAAGAAAACAATTGTAAAATTTGACCCATAGACCTATTCATCATCCAGCGAGACCGAGTGTGAGAATGCTAGGCACACGCTTGCATTATACAGTACCTTACCACCACTGAAAGAAATGCCATCTCTCACCCACTCCCAAGTTTTTAACAGGAACTGGTAACAGGTACCGTCAAAACAGGTTATACTTTTATGAACTGATTCATCCAAAAGTAATGGAAGAGTTTTATAACAGGTAATCGATAATTGCTGCATTAATTAATTAATTGCAGCACAAGGATCTAGATATTTTAGTCATTTCCATTGTATTGATGCCCTATGTTGGAGTTGCTTGCTTGCATCTGCCCAGAAGTCCATAATAATCATTTTCTTTCTTTCCATACTTCTATTCATTTTGACCCCCTGTTTCCTCCCTTACATAGTTCTTTCACTGATTCATAATGTCTGAGTGACTTCAGCTAACAGATCGGTGTCTCTGTGTGCGTGTCTGTGTGTCTGTCTGTGCGTCCGTGCAGTCATGCCCTCTAGCCCCACGGTGCCCGGCTCCAGCTCCTCATCCATCCTGCCCTTCTCCTCGTTCCCCTCCGTCAAGCAGAAGAGTGCCTTCGCCCCAGTCATCCGACCCCAGGGCTCCCCCTCCCCGGCCTGCCCGGCCACAGGGGGCAACAGTTTCCGAGGTACCCCTGCCCGAGCCAGAGAACCACATGTGTAGATCGCTACCAGCACCACAGAGGTTCAGAACAGTAACAGCACCTGCAGAGAAAACAGCCAGACATCCCGATGGCTTACAGTGCCTGCATCATTTCTTGGTGCATGGTGTGGACATTTCAATGGGATTTCAGTTTTTTTTTCTTAAGTAAAGAAGCTGTCCAAAAGACTGCTAGTTAGGGTCCTTTAAAAAAAAAACATGCAGTTCTTAGTGAAAATAAAGTGGAATTTCCAAGCACAAAATCTAAGTCCTATTAAAATCCTGTTAGAACTTAATAGTTCTGCAGTTCAAAAGATATTTTGGATTGCTTTTGATGCATCATTTTTAAACAAGAGCGTGCAGAAAATTAATCAGTTCACCTCATTTTGGATGATCATTAATTTAATTTAGTTTTCATGCTCCCAGTCTGATAATGTCTTAACATTTGTTAAACTGGTGGGTTTGCCTAATGACTGTAAAAGCAAACACACAGTATTTACAAATTACCGTGTAACACTGAGCAGAGTGTGTCTAATAGTTCTCACTTGGTGTTTCTCAGACTCCTCGCACAGTTATTGGCAGATCTTAACATGGCCAAGGTGTTCTGAAAGAAAGCTGAGCACACACACAACCACAGACACACACGCACCCACGCTTGCACAACCACACACAACCTCAGACACATGCACAACCGCACACAACCACACACACACATACACAACTACATGCACGCGTACAGAGCCAAAAACACACGGACACTCACACAATTACACTTGCGCAGAGCCACATGCACACACACAACCACAACCTCACTTACATTAACGCACAAACAACCACACACACACAACCAACCACACACACACAAAGTGCACACACTCACTCACATGTGCACACACACATAAAGGAAGGAAGGATTTCAAAGCTGTGTGCAGTACATGAGCTGGGCCTCCTTTTCCTTTGCTTTGAAGGTGACCTGTCGAGGGGTGAGAAAGTCCCAGGGTCTCTGGGGCTGTATAGGATTGAGTTGCTGTCGTCCAGTGTTGTCTGTCAACACTACATAACCCCTTGGGTGTCTGCTTGCAGCCTTTCACCAGCACAGCTTTCTCCTAAAAGAACACGTTTGCCCCCCCACCTGCCATATTTATACCCCTTTCCTCCCATTATCCTCCTCTGGACAATGTGGGGAAGCAATAAAAAAGGCAAACAGAATGTTTGGACACCTAGTTTAGATCAAGGGATGTTGTACAACGCATTACCAAGACCTCTTTCAAAATGTTCTGTACAATTTTGCTCACCATGTCCCAGAACAGAAACATTTCCTGGCCTGAAGGAGTATCTTACCTTGACTCTCAAAAATAACTGAAGCTCTTTATTCTTGAAAAGAGGTGACGATGAGGAAGGAGAGCAGATTCAAGAACTCAGAATCTGCCCAGGCCTTGACAAAGTCAAGCCACTGAACTTTTCCTGACCCCAGAGTAAAACACACACCAGATAAACACGTGTTCTAACTGTGCACTGAAAACTGCTTTACACAAAAGGTTGTGGGAGACTGGCACAAGCTACCCAGCCATGTTCTTAAAGCTGTTATTCTATTACTTCTTTCAAGAAGCAGTTGGATGACAGCTTGAGATCACTGTTTTACCTCCTAGTCTTCAATGGGCTGAATGGCCTCCACATGTACGAAACCTTTTTTATGATATGATATTCTTGACACCAATCGACAGTGAGCACCTCCCCAGTTTGACTGCAGCCTCCTAAAGGTCTGTATGTAGCAGGGTCTGGAAACCAGTTTGTATGAATGGTTGCCATTGTTCAGTAAAAGCACAGCTACCTTTCATCAACATTACAAGTAATGTTCCATTCCCAAGCTGTCTTAACTCTTTCTCAAAGCACTTAAACACATTTCATCACGCCTCTTTCGTAAGAGAGTCCTGCTCCACAAAGGTGTGGAGTTATAGGAAGTGATCTGACAGACAGACCGCAGTCAGAGCCCATCAGAGCTTTATCATGTAATATAAGCCAGGTGCATAAGCCAGTTTGAATTGCTGGATATATTTATGTTCAAGAGAAATGTATTTAAATGAACAAATAGAATTAGATTCCTTTGTTTGCAGATTCATTGGATAAGGGTCTTTTGTAGAACATCTGGGCAAATTTTGGTATCATTTTGGGGTAAATTTGGGAATGGGCTTCCTTTTTTTGTCATTTCTTACATACAGTGAGATCTGAAATACACAAGGGTGTGTGCAAAAAGAAGAATCTTTGCACTAGATGTCAAGTGCTGAATATTACAGCCGCGGCAGAAACAAATGGATAATACCAAAAACTTTAGCTTCCACCTACTTGAAAAAAAGAAAAGAAAATTGAAACAGTTGTCACTTTATCTGCATACCAGCGGTAGACTGGAGTGCTTGACGCTATATGAAAAGCAAACTAATAAATCTTTTGGTTCTCTTCCTTTAATTCAGAGACTGCTTGACTTTCTTCTCTTGCTCTGCTGTACACAAACACCTGTGTATGACTGAGATTTTCTCTGTCTCTCTCCAGCTATGACCGGCTTGGTTGTCCCACCCATGTAGGAGCCACACCCACCACCCCTGAGTCAGGTTGTCTGCTTGTCGGCGCTCTTCTGACAGGCTTCGCCCCCAACGGCGGCCATGTTTTTTGGCATTTTTGACCCCACCTCTGACCTTTCACCTCAGCTCCTGCTTCTTGGCACACCGGGCAGTGACAGACAACGGCCACACCAGGGCCCTTTTCTGCTCCAGAAGCTGGAATCAGATTGTTTCAAATAAATAAATAAGCGACCGCTTGAGCAGTCCAAACGAAGGGGGCTAGGAGGCCTTTGACTTGCTGGCTTCAGAGCCGACCTCTGAACAAAAACCTTCTTGCTTCCTGGAGACTTCCTGCATCAACACCTGACACACACACACACAAAAACACCCTTCCGCCTGCTAAGGAAGAGGCCAGACAAAACGTTCTAGGTCTTCACCACAGACGTCCAGTGCTCGGGACTGCAGACACTCGGGCTTCGAAGGACATGGAGGAACTGGCCAGTCACAGAGCCCGCCTCTGTGCCAACTTTCTGAGAGACAAACAAGAAGGTGCCGGGATTTCAGCAGCTTGTCTCAGATCGCAGACTTCTGAACAGACGGCCGCCTTCAAAAAAACTCTGAAATCAAGTCTGTATTGGTAGACATTTCAGAAACGATTGCCGTTCCTAGGAAGAAACGGACGGAATGCTGGGAACGCAGGCAGGCTCTGGACTTTGAAAGTCGACACATTCCAGAATCTCGTGGTCTCTTCCCTTATAGCGTATCTTTATGATTCCGACTCCGAGATTCCAGACTCCGGGGTACACAAATACCCAGGGCTACGGCGGACCACTACATACACCTTTTTATTTAAATGAGCAATTTAACTTATTATTATAGTTAGATTTAGGAATAATATAAAATTCCTTCATTTTGTAATTATTATTATAATTATTATTGTTATAATATTTTTTATCATTATTGTTGTCATTATTACTGCTACTCTTTCGGCAAGGTATTTCACTTGGTATATTAAAATAAATAGAAGTATTAATAAAACGAAGCAAAATATGAACTGTTTTCCTACAGCAAAATTATTTAAACATGATGTAATGTTCTAAGAAACCGAAACACAGTTCCAAACCAAATGCTATTGAAGATGGATGATTATGACATTGAAATGCCTTTTTTTCATCAGATACAGCACTTTCACAGAATTTATGTTGTTATTACAGTTCAGTACTGCTAAGGTGACAGCAGCTCTCATCCATTTGACAGATTTATGTTTTTATTCCTTATAACCTTAAGTGATTTGACTTTTTCTGTGTATATTTGTTTTATATGCATGGTCACATTTTTAAAACACTTTATTTTACATTGAGAAATATTGTTAATTTTGTACCATAATGTTGTGTTAATTTGAAGTACCTAATCTCCCCCCCCCCCACCACACCGTTGCTATGCAGTAATATAAGCACAAAAAAGCTTTTATATAGATAACAAAACTTAATTGTCAGAAAACATCATGACGTACAGCCATTTTACTCCATTTCTGAACATGGTCTATATGATCAAAGTGATTTTTTTAAAATGCAAATTTATGTCACTCGAGGTAAATTATCAGACTAATTTTCAAATAAAAGTTTCTTATTGCAAGAACTAGTTCTAAGGTTTTTTATTGTTGTTTGTGCACATGCAAAGACAAAAACACCAACAGGATTTCAGTGTAATATTTCAGGAGTTAAAGACAATATGCCAAAATTAAATGAAGACACGAGAGCATGACTGGCTTTAATCCATGTGTCTTCAGGTTTGAAAAATATGTGTGTGGGGTGGAGGGGGCAGTCTGACATAATAAATATAGGGGTGCTACCCTAGGTGTGAGATTAGTGCAGTGGTGTTCGTGTTTGGAGTTCTGGGAAGGAAAATCTGAAGTCTGGTATTGAAGTCCTAGAGAACAAGTGATTGGCTGGATTTGAGGCACTATCTCTGTCCTGAATATGAGTTGAGATCTCCATTTACATTATTTATCTTCTAATCTGGGTATTTTAGTAAGTGACTTACAGTATACAACTTGAGCTCCACTTGCTTTGATTGACACATCCAAGATTTACCATTCCAACATGTCACAAGACTTTTGTCTTCTGCTGGATGTTTTTTTTTTCTTTTTTTCTTTCTGCTCCAAGCAGATCTTGGACATTGTAGATGACACCTTCTTTGTCGGCTCCCCCTGACGTGGTGCCTTTTTGCAAAAAAGTTCAATTTTCCTGTAGACAGCAGCATCTGCATACAGTATGTACAGGATACACACCTGTCTTCAAGATCATCTATTGTGTTCTGGGGTGTTTTGCGGTACAGAAGTGAGCTACAGTATGCAGTGGTGTAGATAGCTGTTAAAAAGGCCATAGACTCTCAGACAATCTAGGTCTGTTGGGAAATTGTGCCAGTGAGAAAAAAACACACCAGATCTGCCTTCTGCCTCAGTGGTCTTGTTACTAGAGCTGGGCATTGAACTTTCTATGCTTTTCAGGAAATCTTGCAGTGGCTAGCCTAGCCCCACCAGGGGCCAAGAGGATAGGGACAGCTTGGCATAGGCAATCAAACTTAACCTGCTTCCATCGGAGAACTTGAAAAAACCCATGAAAACATGGGGAGAACATACAAACTTCACAGAGAAAGTCTGCAATTGAACCCGGGACCTTGGAGCTGTGAGGTAGCAATGTTCAGCACCACTATACTGTGCTACCCTGTTAAATGCCTAAATAAGATGAAATAATTAAGAAGACATTACTGGTATATTCAGTAAATGTGCACAGAGCATGGGTGTCTTTAAAACACTTGAGATGCTGGGAGAAGCTGTAAAATTGGTTCCATCCATCCATTTTGTGGATCATAGGGGAGCTGGAGAGTAACCCAACAAGCAACTGGCACAAGGAAGAATACACCTTGGACAGGACACCAGTCCATCACAGGGCAGACACGTACAGTACGTGCACACACACGCACGCACACACACACCAGGGTTAATTTTCCTAGAAGCCAATTAACCTACCAGTATGACATTTTAGTGTGAGAGCAAAACCACTGGCACATGGGGAGAACACACAAGCTCCTCACAGATAGTACCCCCGTTCCAGATTTGAACTAGGGGCCCCAGTGCTGCAAGGTAGCAATACTAATAACTTGTGCTACTAAATAGGCTCCATTAAGCCAGTAATAAACTGATTTTAAGTTCCGATATGAGGCTCCTACAGACTCCTGTGTGCAGTATAGCGCATAAAAATCCTTCTCTACAACCTACAAGGCCTCATGACAGACACAGAGCAGGCGAGATAGATAAAACATTAAGTGCAAAGGCCAAAGCAGTCTCTGTTTTAAGTAGCTCAGTCAAACCCTCATTAAGGCGGACTAGAGGTGTGATGCGCACACTGGAGTGAGCTTTACTGGAGTAACTCGCCTGGCAGAGGAGATCTACAGCCTGCCTGCGAGGAAGGGGCTGTCAGAACCCCCCTTTCATGCAGAACGAGCCAGGGAGCTGGAGCAAGAGTGAAGATGGGGCGGAAGGAGGGAGGTGAAAACAACAAGAGTAAGTAAACAAGAAGCGCGATGTTTTTAAGTTGGTGGGCGGAAGTGGATGAAATTGAGGTTTGAACTCCGCGGAACTGTTATTGAAAATTCCATTAATGTATACCGTCTACATATTTGTTAGACCATGCGAAGATAAAAATCCCTCCAGTTCCTTTATTGTCCCTTACGATACCGGGGGACATTAATCTTCACGCGGATGCACTTTATTAAATCCCCCCCCATTTCTACAGCAGGTAGACAGGGTTACCAGTCAGCAGTGACGGAGATGGCACGCTTGCCGAGTCCTCCGAGAGTGTCTGGGACTGGGACACTGAGCCGCGTGAAGTGTTTTCCTCTTCCCTCAGAAAAGGCTTCTTACCGCTAATGTAATTAGCGTTGATACGAAGGGCGCTTAATTACCGGGTCCTTAGATCAAGTAATTAATGTTGTGCCAGCAAAACAGCAACTGTTTCATTAACACGCCGCTCAAAGCCGGGAGCCGAAACTCATTCCAAGGTACACATGTTGTGTGTGTGAAACTGTATTAAGCAAGAACGGGTGATCTTTCAGCTGCCTGTTCTCACACGATCTTCAAACACATCAACAGCCTCGTCGACAGCTGCAGGCTTGTTGAATTATAAATATTATTATCAATAATAAAAAGAGAATCAGAAGGGAGCAGATAAACAACGACGACCTTCCTCTGCCCGTTTTCTTTCTCTCCCTCTGCTGTTTTCAAGTGGCACTTGTGATGGGAGCCTAATATGGCTAACACGCCTCCTGCTAATTCGGCGAGTGAAGTTTTTGTCTTATTATCAACACCTTTGCGTTTGTCACCATAAGCTCTTCCGGGCGACGCACGAACCGCGGCCATATGCTCATTTCGCTGCTGTTGTTTTAGCAGCTTAATCCTGCCGCCGTGCACGAAAGATTAATATTCAGAATAATGAGGTGTGAAGGTTTATCTGAGCCCTTTCACTTTAAAGGAGCGCCGCCGGTGGTTAAATGTCTTTTCCCTGTTCAGTTCGGTTCGAAACCCTTAATGGTCGAACACTACTGGAGGTTTGCCGTAATCGATCATCCGAAAAAGAGGACACTCCGTGGACGGAGTATTTATAAAATCGCGTGTCTGGTCAGAAAGAAAACCGCGGGGAAGAGTAGAATAAGGAGAAGATCCCTGACGTTTTAAGGTATTTGAAAATTCCTCCCGGACGGAGATTTAAACACCAAAAAGGAGGACGTGTCCGGGCAAAACCGCACATATGGTAACCCCGAACACGATTTGTGTGGCTCAGACCTCACCTCCTCAATCTCTGCGCGGTGTGCTTTTTTGGGCATCCCAAACCTGAAGGCAGGGGGTAGACTGTCACAGCGGGCGTGACTTCAGACTTTGCTAGGCTGTGTTGCGAGTCTGTAGTTTTAAGATGAACACCCGATTACTGCCACAGGGCCTGTTTAGACCTTTGGAAAGTCTGGGCCTTAGATTGTGCTGCCCAAACAGTGCGCTGACATACGGTACGGAAACCTGCCCGTCAGCAGTGGAACTTTATGGGTGGGGGCCCTGTACTGAACCGTGGACAAGAAGCAGATCCCATTAAAAACTGAATAAATACAAATGCAAGTTTCACTCCAGACCTAATGCAATTATTGCTGCGGTCCTCTGGGGAACGGCTGTGTTTATAAAGCCAATTAGCCCAGTGGCCACTTTGTCGCAGTATGGGTTGGTGTGAGTCCGGAGGGCTTTTATCAGTTGAGGAAAGACACAATATTCCTACCCCCCCCCCCACCTTAAAAAAAAAGGACCACAACCAACCCTTCCCTTCCTTAGACTCTCTTTTGCTCTTTCTTTTTCTTTCTCTTTTTTTCCATGCTCTCCATCTCTCTCCCCCCCCACCCCCCTTTCCCTCCTGTAGTCCCCCGGGTGGCAATTTGCGGGGAAGCAGGCCGGCAGATGGGATTGGCAGAGAGCCCCCCCTGGGATCCCTGTCCTGTCCTCGTCTGCGCGGTTTGATTTTGTTAAATTGCACGCTGGCAACAAAGCAGGCCCAGCCCCTCGCAGTGGGTAAGTGACATATGTCAGGAATATGGCAACAGACACTGGGGGAGGAGGAGGAGGAGGAAGGCGAGAGGTGCTCTGGCCGTGTGAGGAAGGGTTTGCGCTGGGAATAAGCGGATGTGGCCAGGTGCTGACCGCCACAGAGCCACCGAGGGAACGCCGGGGCCACCAACGTTTCGGCGCCTGTCTGCACGTTACAATCTCCTGGCTCATCCGGGCAAGACCTCTGGCTGCTGGCAGGGACTCTCCATCAAGCCGCATAATTGCCTGTGACCTGGAAAAAACTGTAAAACTGCCTCATCAAGCAATGCATTTCCTCAATGAGCATGTACTGTATAGGGATCAGACCCCAGCCAAAATACGGAGCATTATTAATGTCATTTTGTAGCTTGAATTTAACCTGGTGCAGGCAAGCATTCACTATGAAACCTTTCCCCTTATCTAATGGCACTACATGTGCAAATGGCTTTCAAGATCTGAGACTTTGTATATGCATACAAACATGGTTAATGGTGGCACAGGCAGTGGGCACTACTGCCTCTCAAACTCTGGAGTCCAGACTGGGGCTGACTCCTTCCAGTGTCCTCCCACCTCCTGAAAGACATGCGGATAAGGATTGTGTGGCTACTGTACTGTAATCTGACCTTTGTTGAAGAAGGGGGGTTTAATGGGATTTTATACTGTAGGAGGGTGGTTCACAGTACAGCTTTTACTGGCTAAGGAACTGTAGGGAAACAGTGGCCTCCTCTTGTCTAGAGCTGTCCCGATCTATCTATCCAAGAATTCAAATGGGAATATTGAGATTGAGAGTCTCAATATTCAATATTCAATATTGAGATTCCACAAGTGTGTGCTTAAAGTTTGGAATGTGTAGCTATGGTTGTCCAGAGGAGGGAAACACACCAGTGGATTATTGAAGGTCAGCTTGGGGAATTCTGGAAAGCACTTTTCAATCATGAACTGAGCCCTGTGGGTCTTACAGGTACAGTGTAGTTAGAAGGTTTATATAATCTGCTGTGCTGTGACT